GGCCCTGGCGGGACCCGGCGAGACCCTGCAGAATGTCACCGCCCAGCTCTTCGGGCCGGAGGCATACGGGACCCTGGCAGCATTCGGCGACTTCAACTCGGACAAGCAGACGGACCTATTCGTGCTGCGAGGCGGTGAGTGGGGCGGGAGCGGGGCCGACGGCGTTACCGGTGTCGGTCTGGAGAAGGACGGGCGCCTGGGGAGGCTCCGGTGGTTTATTTGACATATGCGTTCTTGGTGATCAGGCAAAGACTCTCCCGGCGGGAGCTGTCCTGCGAGGAGCGGGGCTCGGAAACCTTGACGGAAATCTTCCAGCGGGAGAGACCCCCGGTTCCGTGAATCTCCGGCTGCTCTTGTTTTTCCTCTTGCCTTGTAGTGCAGCACGTGTTCAGTGCTTGGTCTGCTCGCGGTGTGGCTGGGGGCAAGATTAGCGAGCAGTAAAATTATTTTCAAGACTAAAATTGACATATGTTTTAATTCTGAGATTTCCTGTACGGAAAAAGATGTTTTCAGTTTATACTAAAATATGGCTTCATGTAGAGCAAGAAATATTTTTCTTTAAGTTGAATTTATGGTCGTGAAATAATCTGAAGACTTTGTGCTACGAAGCTGAATGGTCACAAATTAGTTTTTCTCTTCTGCTTTCACAGTATTTCGGGAAAAAGATGTGTATTTCACAGTTGTAAAGAGGATAAATTGCATATTTTCGTACCTTGAGCATTATGTTAAAGTGGAAAGCTAGATAAATTTGTTCTACACAAGTGTTGTTTGCCAGGAATTTCTGTTAAAGTTTCAAATATGACCTCAAATCAGAGCTTCTTATCAGTTATTACTTGTGTTATCCCACTTATTAGTGGTGTTATTTGCAGATGCTAATCTTGGATTATTTTACTAACTTGAAGTTATACATTAAGATAATAAATTTATTCTCAAATTGACCTTTTTATATTCCTGCAATCTCAGAAATGGGTCTTGAAGTAGGTACAGTAAAGCATGAGTGAATTTCTCATCTAGTTGAGATATTTAAATGCGTGGCTCCTTGAAAGTGCTTCTGTGCAAAAACACACTGAAAGATTAGGTTTAAAATGAACGTCAGTGATAAGAGATTTAATTTAAATTTTCTTATCTTTCAGATGATTGCATATAGAAACATGATTAAAAGTTTTAGAAACGAAGCTCATGGTTTCATCTTTGCTTCTGCACACCAGCACTTGCTATAGTTTTATCTACTTGATTTTTCCTCTAAAAATCAGTCTGAAATAACCTACTTGATAACATTATTCTTCATCATTTAAGTCTTGTCAAAAAGTGGCTTGAAGAATTTACAGAATACCTTTTAAATAAAATGTAACAGGAAATTCTAAATAGTAGAATTCTAAGTAGTAGAATAAATGGTAGCCGACTCTTCTAGTAGTGCTGAAGAAGTGAGTGTTGGAGATAATGCTAGACCTTGAGGAGCAATGGGCTGGTAAAGAAGCCCAGTCCTAATAATCCTGACCCTTAATAAGGAAGGTAGGGGTGATGTTTTGGGCCTTTTGCTGCATTTATGTTGCTGTTCTGATCCTGAATTAATTGGATTGAATGAGAGTAATGTTCCATATGCTCAGATAGGTGAAAGAAAAATCACTTTGTACCCAGAGTTTTGTAGGAGAGGGTAAACTAGTTAAACATAAGAGGTAATCTGGATCCAGAAGTATCATGTTGGAAGAGGAATTCGAACTTATCATTGGGCCCTGGGTTTAGTCAATTTTTTAAACTAAAAGTATGCAAAGAAATGGTATTGTACATACACTTCCCTGTTTTTTAAGTCTATGCACAAAACGGGGAAAAGTGGGGAAGCTCATGCTGTTTGCTTGTTCAACTTACCACCGTCTGTTTGTGTTCGATGCCTTTTCTGATAGTATAGGGCAGATCATCCCCTTACTCAGCTTCTGCATTTCACTGGGGAATTTTAAAAACCTCTATGGTATCCTCACTCAGATGTTCAGACTTAATCTATGTTATCGTTGTTTGTATGGAAACTGATCCCTTTTTTCACACCTTCCTATGTGCTTTTTTCCTTTCTTCTGTGTTCTTTTTGAGATGAGAGGGCAAGAACTACAAACAGCATCTAGGTTGTGTGCACTGTGGATTGATATAGTGGCATAGTAATTTTGTTTTCTCTTCATCTAATAACTTCCACTGGTCAATCTGTTTTGACTACTGATGAGCGCTGAGCTGACATTTTTATAAATCTATTTTTAGTGACCATAAAAATCTCATTTTGGAGTGGTATAATTGACTTTGAACCTGGTATGTGTAAAAACACAGTTGCTGCTTTGTCATCATTATTACCACATAGATGATACAAAGGCAGGTGAAAGTCTATAGTGTGGAATCGGAATTACAAGTTTTAGCCGTCAACCCGTGGCTTTATTATCAAAAGCTTAACCAGCCAGCAGGCTTTCTCACCTTGCTTTGTGCCAACTCTTTCAATCATCTGTGAATTGTGTAGTGCAACCCAGGTTTTATTAGCTTGCCAGATGGGACTGTAGTAGTTGCCTCAAACCATTTTAAAAGGCTTTGTTTTCATTTACTCATTTGTTGGCATATCCTCCTTGGCAAATATGTTTATGGCAGGTTTTTTGGTTTTTGGTTTTTTTATTTTGTCATAGCCAGGAAGCTTGTATTCTGCTATTTCACAGCTGTGAACTTTGCTACAGAACTGGCAAGTGCTCTTACATTAGGGTAGCTCAAGTTCAGAGCTGTAGAATTGTTTTTGTTAAGGTAACCTAGTTTATGCAGTTTGGGGTGCTACAGGTGAGTTATTTGGAAATGCAGAAAACATGCAATAAAGGATGAGTAAAACAAATGAGGGTTTTGGTTTTTTGTTTTTCTCTAGGTCTGAACTACTATTTTACTTATAGAAGTAAGCACAGGTGTATTGTGGTTTACTGACTGAAAATAATTTCATTGTTCCAATTTTTTTTCTTCCCTGAAATACAATTATTGGTGCAACATCAAAGATGGACTTTTATTTAGATCTTCCTGAAATTTTTAAATTACAGTGGCTTGTATCATTGCCTCTAATTGAGAAAATGCTGCAGGAAACTGGTTCTGTGAGTTTCACTTAAAGTGCTTTTGTCAGCTGAGTTGGGAAAGGGGTATCAGATACTGCTGTGTCAGAGGCAATATTAAAAGAGTTAATTTGAGTTAGTTTTTAATGATTTGTATGGAACTGATGCCTGTTGCTTTTCCACAAGTAATGTTTATTAAGTCATTATGGGAAGTTATATACTTAACAGAGAGGAAGGTCCAACACTAAGCCCCAAAGAATATTCTTGATAATAGCATTCTTTTGAGGTGCAGTTAGGTTTATGGGTTTTATTAAAGAGGCGTTCCTTTTGCTTCCTTTTGAATGAGGAGAAAGTAGTTACACGGGAAGTCTGTTAAAGGTTTTGCTGCTGTGAGGAATCACTGTTTGTGGAATAGCTTTTTAAATGTTGGAGGTTTTATATAAGCCGTTTAGAGTTGGCCTCTGTTTTTCACTGTCTTTCTTACTTTTGCAGGAAATGAGTTGATTATCTTTTTGGCTGACCAAAAGGAACCCTACTTTAAGCCCCGTGTTAAGTTACCAATGAAGTAAGTATTGATATGCAATGGCGAAATAATGGAAATGGCTGTTTTTCTTGAACATGCATTTCTGCAGTCAGTGGAAACATGACTAGAATTGTCTGTGCTGCTGTTACCTGTTTGACTGTGTTGTTCAACTTGCCTTAGAGCTCCAGCTCTTTGACCAGTTTCCTGATTAATTTCCTGACAGGTTTTTGACTTGATTTGTTTGGATTTTGTAGGTCAGGTAACAGAATTTGTGGAGACAAGTTTGTCGTTCATACTAACTTTATGGAATTTCTATTTTTCTTTCTCAGTCCTCTATCAACTATTAAAAATACCAGTATCTTGTAATATTTTTTCAGTTGACCTGTTTTTTCAGTACTTTATTTCCTAGTAAAGCAAACTATTACTCCGTGTCATAGGTTATGTCTTTTTGGCAGATATCATTAGCCTCTGTTGCAAGACATGTTTTCAGGGAAATTCTTCTAGTTGCTCTAGATTCTAATGGAATCCTGGCAATATCATTGCTTTAGAAAGATATATGGAGAATGGTGCTCTGGTATTTCTGTGTGGAGACCTATTCCCTTCTAAAGTTTAAATATGGCTTTAAAAAAAGCATTGATTTTTAATAAATGTAAAATGATCAGTGTATTTATGTACATATATGTAATTTTAACCATAATAGTATCACAGGATATGTTACCGCTTGTGAATAATGTTTACTGATAGTATTTTGCCTATTAATAGGTAAACTGCTTTTATAGCTCAGCTTCATCTTCTAGAGTTCTACATATTTTTACTTTTCCTTATTCCCTCCTATCTTGGAAGGAGCTAATTTGTTTAGTGCATCAGAAGTTATCTGCTTTTAATTCTTAACAGAATGACCCATGTTTGTTTGTGTAAAGCAGTCTGAGTAGGTAACCAAGTAAAGAAGAGATAGAAAGAACAAACAAATATAGGAAGGAGAGGCAAGACGTGGCAGAAGATAGGAGGAAATGACATTGTCTTTAAACAGATCTGTCTACCTGTCTGTCTCCTGCTCTTTAAGCTGCTCCTGTTGTGTTATGGTCTTGCTCATGGAATGCAACCACAACACATTTTTAAGGACTGGTTCTACAACAAATTAAGGTTTAATGTAGTCTGGACAGCATTACTAAGCAGGATGGATACAGCTGAGGAATGCCTGTTAGCTGAAGTTTAGAGTTAATGTCATCCTTCCTTAGACGAAGACAGCCTACAGAATGATTGATTTAAAGTTCCTTTTCAAATAGATAAAGCCTTTATAAAAACCCAGGTTGTATTAGACCAACTCATAAGAATCGGGATGAAGAAGCAAGCCTTTGAACACACAAATGCAATTTCAATTTTCATGCAGTTATTTTCATGTGGGTTTTTTGTTTGTTTTTAATTCTAGATCTCTCAGTGTCATCATAACCAGTGTCGTTCCTGGAGATTATGATGGTGATTCACAAATGGATGTCCTCCTGACTACCCAGGGACAAAATGATGGCAGAGATGAACTTTCAGTGTTTATTTTCTGGGGGCACAACCAAACACTAGGTGAGTTGCTGAAGCTGCTTATTAAGATTAATAGACTTCCTAATAATTCAAGTGTTGTCAGAAAGTTAAAACTCATTTTGCAGTGTAGTGGTTGTTTTAACAACTAAAATAGGGATTCCTACGTTGCTGTTATCATGTTGTTAAAGTGTATTCAATAATTAAGGAAAGAGAACAAAGCTGAATTCTTTTGACTCTATAGAGCAAAAGGCATAACCTAACTATTATAGTTTGACAGTAACCTACTAACTGAAGAGCTACGTCTTGTGGCTTCCCCTTAGGACATGTCAGCCTCTGACAGACTATCTCAAAAGACTTATCTTGAATTTAAAATGTGCTGAGAACCTGCTGTAAAGTTTAGTTCATGAACTTTAAAAATATCATACCTAAATACTTAGATGTAGTTGATTCTGTCTTAGGATAGAGTCGTGGACAGAATGAACTCTTGAAATCTCCTGTTTTCTGTCAACTTTGTTAGGAAAGGGTTTTAGGAAGAGTTCTGGGTTTGAAGGACGATAGAAAAGCAAAAGAAGATACTCTTAAATCCATACAAGCTACTGAAGAATAATCACTATTATAAACAACTGCGTTATAAAATAGTTACAGATCAGGCAAGTGATGGCATTAGGTACCATTGCTGCTGATTTTAATCAGAGGTGAATAAAGCACCCTGGGAAAGTGCACTGGATCAAGGATTAAGAGAATTGGAGTTATCTGTAGCATTGGGAAGATTGTGAAGGATTTGGATTACTTTATGCTATCTTGCTTCTGGATCATCAGATATTGGGAGAGGCATAAATGAGCACATGGTGCTTAGAAAAGGAGTCAGAGGTTAAACATTCAGGCAGTGGCTGGTATGTAGTGAGGTTACTGGGAAGGTATGTGGTGCCTAATGGAAGTATGACAGACAAGTCAATAGAGGGTACTGTGATAAAATGTGGCAACTGAAGAGAAGAGAACCATCAGGAGATGAAGGAAACACAGATCATGTGGCAAGGAGTTTGGATTACAAGTAAAAGTGAACTCAGAGGTGATACAACCTGAATAGGACTTAAAATCTTCACTTCCCATTTAGGCAGTCTACCTGTAATCCTTATTTCAGACACTCAGTGTATATGATTAAGTATGGTTTTTACAGTGACAAAACCTTAAACAGAGGCCTTGTGTTAAATTTTTAGACTCTCTTCAGCCCAACTATTTCAGTTTCATTTGTCCATGTGATTGCAGTCATATGAAGAAGTAGGTTTCACTAAGATCTATTTAGAATAATTTGTTGAAGAGTTTAGTGGAGAGGGAAGCTTCAGCATTTTAACTGTAACTCACCTGCCCTGAACAATTTCAGGAAGCCATTTTTAGTTGTTTATACCCAGTGGTGGCTGATTTAATTCTTAATGATAAAATTGGTGGTTGTAAATTAATAGAATTACATCTAAGTTAAAAACACAGATGTACTAAAATATTGGTAACTGAATCAAAGTAATATTTTCTGTTTTCAGATCTTAACCATAAAACTATGTTAAATAAGACCTTTCATGATGAGCCTCTAGTAATGGAGTAAGTATGACATACTTTTTTAGAAAACATTTGTAATGGTGACTAAGAGCAACTTAAATATATTTTACTGCTAAAATTTAGAACACATGTTCTTTAAGAGTAGCATTGTATGTGTAGTGTCAAGTGGTGTAAAAAAGATGACAAAACATAAGCCATCTTTACAAGTCTTGTCTATTACATCATCTTGGCAATAGTAACTAAATTTTAATTTTAGTACTCTGTTTTATGCAGAAAAATAGCCATTCAGTATTTGTTGAATTTCATAAAGTAAAAACCCTGCTAATTTATCAGACTGAGCAAATAATCCCTTTCACAGTGCATTCTTCTTTGTTAAATGCTGGACAGAAGAGGGGGGCAGAATACAGCTGGAAAATCAAATGTATTGCATAATGTAAAATACTGAAAGAAGCATACAGCTACCAGCAGCTCAGACAAGAGCCAAAATTCAGAAAAGGCTGCACAGGTGAAAATTCATCATTACTTGGGGGGAAAATGCTAATCAAATTCAGGTTAATTTAAGAACAGTTAATCTCGACTCCTATAATGTCGAACATGATACTGAAATAGTTTTGCATTTTCAGCTTTAATGGAGACTTGATTCCTGATGTCTTTGGTGTGACAAGTGATTCAAGTAAGCCACAGATACTGATAGGCGGGTAAGCTAAGTGTTTGTTTGTTAACATGAATTTAGTATGTTACTCATTGTGCGTCTACTTCTATTCTTAAAGAGGCATAAAGCTCATGTTTTAACTGGAACTGCAAATGCATGAATCTTTTTCTCATTTCCATGTGTATCTTTAAACATTCTGTGGCACTCTGCATCTAATTTTTAAAGTGTTATTTTATAGGGGAAGTAGACATTTGATGAAAGCTGAGAAAACAAAGTCTGTTATTTGGCATGAGAAATAGCGTAATTGTTTCTTGGAAAAGTTTTGTTTAGTACACTTTGATATTTATTATTATCATTTGTATTATTGAATTCTATGGAAATGAACCGAAGTTTTTAAGTAGCGTCTGTAGAATTTAAGCTGCATTTAGTTTAATAGATGAAGTTACAGGCTGATGATGACAGAAGTAAGATCTTCTTCCTTATAAGGAAAATGTGCAAGAGTTTGGGGTAAACTTATAAAAATAATTCAGCTCACATTTACCTAGGAAATTTTAACGGGAAGGTTAGACAACATGTGAAATCAAAAGCACAGGAAACGCAAAGTGTAAGGCTATTAAGCAATATATTAAGGAAAAGTATTTGGTATGCCTACTGGGGGAAGAGATTCATGAAGAGATATAAAGCAGGGGTGACTTCAAGTAGCAATGTAAGTGTCTGTGCAAGTAATGTTCTCTGTATTGCATTTTTTTGTGTTGAGTGGCTAGGGCCACCCTTCAGCAAATAGAAATTGGCTGAAGTCTTGTGAGATGAGACTGCGCTAAAGGGGCCCAATTGTCATTATTAAAGTTTGTGCTAGCCCTGGAATTTCTAGAATGGGACTAGCTAGGAAATACTTGGATAAAAATTACTGGTTTAATGGCATATTTAAGTGGTTAGTAAGGACTATTTAAAGGGTTATTTTTGTTTGACTGTTTAGGATAGGAATGCTGAAATCAAAGCGTAGCAAAAGAATGAATGTCTACTGACTCAAAAGATCCAGTCTATAAACAAAAAGTGATAAAGTAGCAATGTCTGTAATATTGGGCAAGATGCCAAAGAACTTTGAATCTGTCTTTTGGAAAGAAGTTTTAAGTTATTTGTTAAACACGCTACTGGACCCTAGAGTAGGACAGTTCACGTTCTGTTCAGTTTTCCTGATACTGCTTTTGAAGTTTGTAATCTGATTAAAAAAACAGAAAGCTTTGACTTCTGAGCGTGATTAGGCTTGTGTATTCAAGGACACCAGTTGGCGTGACTCTGAGTTAGTGAAAGCTTCATTGTTGAGCCAGATGACCTTTTTCTTTTTTTTTGGGTCTATACATCTTCTGTGACTTTTGCCAAACTGAAGTTTGCATAGAATCATGGAATCATAGAATGATTTGGGTTGGAAAGGACCTTAAGATCATCTAGTTCCAACCCCCCTGCCTTGAGCAGGGGCACCACACACTAAACTATGTCGCCGAAGTCTCTGTCCAACCTGGCCTTGAACACCACCAGGGTTGGAGCATTCACAACTTCCTTGGGCAACCTATTCCAGTGCCTCACCACCCTCACTGTGAAGAAATTCTTCCTTATATCTAACCTAAAGTTCCCCTGTTTAAGTTTAAAGCCATTACTCCTTGTCCTACCACTAGAGTCCCTAATGAGAAGTCCTTCCCCAGCATCCTTCTAGGCCCCCTTCAGATACTGGAAGGCTTGTTATGAGGTCTCCAGGCTGAAGAGCCAACTTTCTCAGCCTGTCTTCATAAGGGAGATGCTCCAGCCCTCTAATTATCCTTGTGGCCCTCCTCTGGACATGCTCCAACAGCTCCATGTTGAAAAAGCTCCAGCTTCTTATGTTGAGGGCACCAGAACTGTAAAACACAGTACTCCAAGTGAGGTCTCATGAGAGCAGAGTAGAGGGGCAGGATCACCTCCTTCGACCTGCTGGTCACGCTTCTTTTGATGCACCCCAGTATATGGTTGACTTTCTGGGTTGCAAGCATGCACTGCCTGCTCATGTCAAGCTTCTCATCAACCACCACCCCCAAGTCCTTCTCCGCAGGGCTGCTTTGAATCTCTTCTCCACCCAGCCTGTAGCTGTGCCTGGGGTTGTGCCGACCCAGGTGTAGGACCTTGCACTTGTCTTGGTTAAACTTCATGAGGTTGGCATCGGCCCACCTCACAATCATGTCAAGGTCCCTCTGGATGGCATCCCTTCCCTCCAGCATATCAACCGAGCCACACAGCTTGGTGTCGTTGGCAAACTTGCTGAGGGTGCATCAATCCCACTGTCCATGTCACAGACAGAGATATTGAACAAGACAGGTCCCAACACCAATCCCTGAGGACACCAATTGTTACTGTTTTCCAGCATACATTCAGTCTTTGAGTTTTGTAAGGAAGAACTTGATCAATAGTGTTGTGGGTTGGGAGTTCTTTGAAAAAGAAAAGAAGCCTTAAAGGGAGGATACTTAAATTAGAACTCTTGGCCTGATTTAGAGCTTTTTCTCTTAGTTGTCAAAGAATGTGCTCAAAAGTGCAGAAATTATTTTTAGGATCAGAGTTGGATTTTAAATGTCAAAATAAATACATTGTTATTAGCTTTGTGATGAATATGAAAACTACTCTCAACATTTTCTTTTTGAACTATTTTCTTTTGACTGGTAACAGATAATTTCCAATGACTGGAAATGTTGGGTACTTGGCTTGTGTTTTCTTGGAAGATTGGGTCTTTAAACCAGTTGTTTGAAGAAGTATGCATCTCCTAACTTCCTATTTTGAAGCTTTTAACTTAATAAGATTGTCTTGATTGTTATTTAGCAGCATTAACAGAAACTTGAAGCTCTGTGCCTTTCAGGAGAAATCCAGGCGTTGGTGTCACAGCTTTTTTAGGTTTGCATAAAACCAATACTTAAGTTTATTTTAAAAGAAAGTGTGTGTGTTGAGAAGCCTTTGCATTCCTATGTGGCTTCCTTTAGATACTGTTTCAAGAAGAATTCTGTTACCACTGACGAAATCAATAAGATGATTGTGCTGTCTCTATGGCAACAATGTATCAGCTTTCTGCTGTGTATTTCCATGGCCCTTAAGAAATGTTGAAATAAGGCTTTCCCCACCCCACACCCCATCAGTGAGTTTAACAAATCTGTACCTGTTGTTCCTGACTGGCTATTTCTTTCCCTCTGTGATGATTCAGAAGTGGCGTAGGGTAAATAATATTTAAATGTGTAAACTGAAACTATACCAGTGATGGCAATATGGTTTTGGTCATTAATCCCAACTTGAATTTTATCACCGCTACGTTTATTTAAATTGATGGCTTATGGAATGCAGATTTCAAATTGACGGGGTGTTTCTGAACACCTTGCAATGATTATATGTTAAAGTTTCATGAACTTTTGAAGATATGGAGAAATTGGAGAGATTTATTTCGTTTTGTTGAAGAAATCCTTTCAGTAGTATTAGGATATAAATATTCCTTACAGCTCAATAAGACTTGAGTGTTATAGATAACAGTATAAGCAATTTCTTGTTTGTGGACAACAGCTTTATGTCATCTGCTTAGAATGTTTCTATTTTTAATCCAAAACGTTTTAAAATTTATAGAGCTATATAACTTTCTTGACTCCCTTCAGAATGGAATGCATAGAAAAGCCTATAGAAAATACTGAATTATTTCTTTAAGATTAAGTGATTCTTTCATACATTTCCAAGACTTAGTTCTATGATCTCTGGGAAGTAATCGGAAGCTTTTTTGTTCCTTACTATAAAATGAGTCACGGGCTCATTTTAAAAGTCATTAGGACATCAGTAATATGTATACAATGTCACTGGAATAAGCAAAGTCATTCTAGATAGTAGTCATATCACTGTCCTGCTACTGTATACTGCATATTGAGATTTTTCTGAATGTATTAGCAAAGGGCTCTGATGATTCAACTGCTGTGACTTTTGACAGATTTGTTATATTCCAATGTGCTGCTAATAGGAAGGTTTGCTGGACGTTCAGTCATTTTTAGAGCAGAAACCATCAGGGCAAGTATGTTTATAAATAAATAAATGTATCGCTTGTGTGGGAAACGACATAATTAGCGTGCAGTTCATCAAAATGTGAGAGTTTAATTCTTGTGTTGATTTTTTTAAGTGACTGCAAATAAAGTCCATTTACATGCAGCAGGCATGAGGTGCTCTAACAGCAGGTGATTATGTCCATTTTTGCTCATCTTTATTAATCCTAAAGTAGATTTCAGAAGTACTGATAATAAAACTGTTTGAGGAAACTAGGGAAGATAGTAGTCAGTATCTCAAGATTTACAGTTGAAATCTAGGCACTAAATCTCATTTTGTGGAACTGACAATTTTCTGTGTACAAAAAAAAATTCCTTTAGAAAGTTAATAAAATCTAACTGAAGCCCCTGAGCTATGAATCATCCTTCTCAGAACCTTTCAAGCAGTTATGCTTGTTACATAGTATATTGTAAGCTAAGTAGTAATTTTAGCTTAGTGTTAGGAGAACATGCTTTCTGTTCAATTTTATTTAAAGTTTCATACATTTTTTTTGAAGTCTATTATCATGATTAGCAGTTCCTAAGCATTGATGAAATGTGTTGCTTTTTATTCTTGTCTATAGGAACTTATCATGGCATGCTGCATTGGAAACTCAAAGTAAAATGTATATACCGCACTCTCATGCGTTTATAGATTTGAATAATGACCTCACTGCTGGTAAGTCCTAAAAGCATTAAATACCTTCCTAAAAATATTTATCACTAAGTATACAACGTATATCAGTTTCCTTCTAATATTATGGCTCTGTTTTGTGTTATGGCTCTGAATTGTGTTGTGTTTACCATTCAAGCATTTTTTTTCCTCTTCTTCCTGATGCTGTATGCTAGTATTCAGTTTTCAGCAGAATCAGAAGCTGGGCTGTATTTTCTTAATCTTGAAGCTGAAAATAGCTTTATAGTTTGTTCAGAAGAATGTTTTCAAGACTGGACTTAGAATTTGTTTCTTGAATATCTCAATATGACTTCATTCTATTTTGTTGTAGTTAATTCTATTGCTGAGAAAATAACATGAGACTTTATTCTTCTATTACTGTATGAGCAATCCAATAAGCTATTTACAATTCAGTGTTCAAAAACTAGAACTGTAGACAACTTTTCTTGTAGTTAAACTGTATTCTTCCTTTGGTGGTTGTGGCTTTACTTTGGTTTTTGTTTGGGTATTTTTATTCAAATTTTGGGTGGGGGTTTTTTGTGAAATACACAATGCAATTTAGCCTTCAATTAACACAATGAATCTATTTATCACTTAAATACCTGGTTCACACTTCCAAGCACATTTAATTTTTGTGCTAAACTTTTTTTTTTTTTTTCCCCACACACTAAATCAGTTCTGAAGTGCTTTATCTTCAGCTATATGTGTAATGTGTGTCAATTCATATATGGTAATTTTGGAAAGAGAGCTTATTTTTTGTCTTATTTAGTAGCATGGGAACGAGAGG